TTCTCTTTCTCTCGGGTCTCCACACTTGCCAGGGGGGAACTCGTCTCGTCTCTCTATTTCGTCCCCTTGAGGTACGGGATCGGGAAAGTCACTTTAACTTTACAGTCAAATAAGGCACACACAACGAAATACGTTTCAGCTCTCGTCTTAGTCGGTCAATCGAGCACTCTATCAGACACAGCGCCCTGGGGAAAAAGTCCCCAAGACTCTCGCAAGGCTGAACCAAGACTCGCCCAAGACTGGACTGCCTCTAGGCTCGCCCCTGGACTGGACTCGACTGCCCAAGGCTGCGTCTGTCGTGGAGTATTCGCCAAGACCAACTCAAACTCTCTTTATTCATTTTCAAAACTCTGACCAATTACAATGCAGTAAAAAGACTCTAGGGCGTAACCTTCAATCATAAAGCCAATCACACTAAGTACTGAACACGTCATATCTTTTGATTAATCGTTCACTACATTAATAACTACGGATGTCAGAATAGCGACGGTATCTTGTAATTAGTTCCAAACCACTGAGCCAAGTTCCGTCCAAAACTTCAATTAGGCCTAGACGATGACAGACATAACACAGCAATTCAGCTAATAATCAACTAATTAAGTCGGTTAACAGATACGCAAAAACAAATTCATGACAATGGAACGAGATTCTGTATTCCGTATTCCCGGACATCATTTCCGTCGAGGGAGACGCCGTTTCCATATTCCCGGACGCCTTTTCCGTAAAGGATGACGTTTCCGAATTCAAGGTCGCCATTTTCGTATTCGGGGTTGTCATTTCTGTATAGAAGGATATTGTTTTCATACTCGCCATTTTCTTATGTATTTGAGACATCGAATTATCATTTCCGTTCTCCTGCTCACTAAACCCGCTCTCAAAAGTGTTGTTTGCCGCCATTATTCCGTCCTCAGTGGTTTGAAAGATGAACTCATCATTTTCTTCGGGGCTATTCACCGTCATCATCTTCCTCGACAGTTTCTTCATTTAATTCAAATTCAGAAATTGTTTGTTTGTTCAATTCTATTTTTAGTTTTGGTATGAACGTTTTTTCGATACTATCAACAACTTTATTTTTGATTACTTTATCTTTGTACTTCACAACTGTCATAACATGATACCCATCTGGGTCAATTGTCTGCTCGTTCTCTTGTTCCGCTCTCTTACAATAAGAAAAAAAAATAAAGGTGGATGCGAATCCCTATTAAACTTCAAACATATGAATGAAGAAAAAATATTATTTCTTTTAAATTGTTTAGTTAGATATAAATAAATAACTAGAAAAGTTGATTGATTTGCCTTATAAATAATAAATGGTATGTAAATAGCCCAAAGCAGGCGTACCTACAATCTCCCGGTCCTAAGAAAGAATTACCTAAAAAAAAAAAAAAAACTCAGGAGGGTATTGTATATTTCATGCGTGTCAGAACACATGGCCAGCCAACATACAAGGTCGTTCACGTGACTAGGCTAGCAGCTAAGCTTATATGTCCACATAATGTGCAATGTGGAATCAAATAAGCACTTTTGACAAAAGATTCGCCTAATTGAGCTGAATAAAAGTATCTCCAGGGGAAAAACAAATGTTAGAGGTCCACCCAAGGATACACATTATGCTGGTAGATGGTAACGACCAGACGGTACATGGGCAATCAGTCAGTGTAAAATAAACTACACATTACAAGAAAGCGAAACCAAACATTGAATCTAATCGCAAAACAAAAACAAAAACAAAAACAAAACGTGCCACACGAGGGCTAGATAGTGCATTTTTTCTCAATACATGTGTATCTGATAGTCATTCAATTAGAAAATAAACCGAATGAAGTTGCATGATGTCGATTACGACCCAAGTCCCAGCATATCTAAATCCGAAATACAGTCAAGATTTAGGAGATCGGGAATTCTCTGATAATCACCGAGTGTTTAGTTCGATGATATTTAAATATGGAACTTCGGTCATTTGAGAATTGTGACACAAGTCTCATCGTTTTCAATATCAATATAAAGATCTCACAAATTTTGACTATGACCCTATTCCCATATTAATACCGATCTACAATCCCTAACCTCAGGGATTTAGACCCATGACCCAGCCTGTTTGGTATCGATCTAAAAATGATAGTGATACATACAGTAAATAATTAATTACACCAACATACATTGGCCTGGATGCTATTCGCATTCTGTCACACAGCGAAATGTATCGGCGCGAGTTTTCAAGTTAGGGCAAGAGCAAGTTATTGTACACAATATACAACACATAGAATATATAATAGCTAACAAAAAAGGGAAACTGAACAGCACCTTAAACATATGGGACAAGTTCCTTGCAGTATTGGCAAAGTAATACTCTGGGTTTATTGGTTGAAAATTCTAATGTGACAAAATACTAGTAATAAGACCACATTTGTATCAATCACTTTTCAATGTCTGACACAGAGTATGAACAGTTAGTTAAAAATTGTACTTTTTTCCAAGATGCAATGTATGTGCTACATGTAAGTTGTTGTACTATTGTACTAAGACTCAATAAAAGTTTATTAAATATAAAAAATAAAAACTCGTGGCATCGTCTTTTAAAATATCGAGGCATCGTTATACAACTTGCCATGGGTGGGAGTGAACGTTGTCAACACAAAATGTGACTAACAAGTTGAGATGAGAAACACGTGTGGACGTT